AATAATAATAATAATAATAATAATAATAATAATAATAATAATAATAATAATAATGCCATTTGGCAGCCAATTTTTACTTTGTTATTAATATAAGGCATCACTCTTCAAAATGTGATCAAAACGAACTCTACCGAACTCATAATCAAAAAATAAAATGAAAATACAACATATTCACTTGACATAATTAGCCTGTGACACAATTTAAGTACATATCAAATAAATTAAATTCTGAAAAATTATTTATTTTCAAAGATCGAAATAATTCTAAACGATGATCTAAATTTTGGATGATTTAGAGAGATGGGTTACTTTGAAGCCACTGAAATTGTTCCGCTTTTCTTATGGAAACCGACCAATGTGCGTCATCCCTGACGGGTTAATTAAAGGAAAAAAAACACTTTCTAGTTACGTTCAATAGATTTATCGTTGTATCGTGTACGAAACATTAAGTCATACAAGGTAGTAGTTAGGTAAATGGTGGAATTCACTGAGAATATAAATATTGAAATCAAAAGTAATCTTTTGTAATGCTAAGATCAGTCTTGTGGATCCCTGACCTTGTACGGATCAATGTTAATTTACAAACTCAACAGATTGCACGAAACTATGAAGTGGCACCACTGTTTTCCCCCTTTAGAGAAGGCATTTGTTTGTCATAAATAATGCAGCAAATCTTCATTGTCACCTTTTCTTAGACCCAAAGTCTTTAAAACCCATTATCGCTGCCATTTCGTCCAAAGGCCCATGATTGTTTTCATTAACTTCATCGATTTTTCTCTTTCTGTCTTTCCTCTTTTCTTTTCTATATTCCTTGATCTTCTCTTCCTGTGGACAACGTGAAATGATACTATTAAAAATCGTACTTTCAACAATACGTTCATAGAATCCTAATGAAAAGGAAACTAACTTCCAACTTCAACTCTTTTACTCTTTGTTCTAGATCATAATCCTTCTTCTTTTCTTCTAACTTCTTTTTATTCATTGCAAAACGGGCTTTAACTTGATCTAATGTAGAACGTTCTATTTTCATTGACATGCCCAAATTACGTTGATCTAAAAGGATATCAAATTATTAGTAATATTGCTATATTGTATTATAAATAGTGATAAATGGGAGATGAATGTAATGTATTACGTTTTGTTCCATTGATGTGGTCCAAGAAATTAATTGAGTCCTTCACAACACAATCGCATACATTGCAATAATACCCTCCAGTTTGAGAAGATGGTGTATTCTTGTTAATAACAACACTTTTTCCTAATTTAGACTCAAGATCAACTTTGTAATCTCTCTGTTTCAACAATTCTCTTTTCACAGCTGGTTGTTTTGGAATTCCCAACTCCTCTTCAGCGATCTCATCCTGGAGACGCTGAAGAGCTATCCTTTCGTACTCTTCCCTGTTCCATTTTCGCCTATGATCGTCAGGTCGCTGAAAAGTATATAACAGAAACCTCAGAGTATTTACACATAAATCGATTATAATATTTACATATATTTGAATAACATTAACCAATTATTTTCAAAGAATTATTTAATACGCACAATGATTATCACGAATAACTTATAAATCAAAGCAACTAATTTATAATCCTTTTACGTAATTTGATTTATATCACTACAGTGTATTAAAATTATTATTGGCTATTGTTGATTATGTTTCTAGAATTTCATATCATAACAAATCTGTTTTTTTTATTTTGCTAGGACAACTAGGTTAGTAAAAATTACAGTTTATATTTTCAATATTAACAAGGAATTTACTTTAACGGTAGATATATCATACAAGATTTAATCAACAAATCTATAGAAATATAAATTATTGATCACTTACCATAGACATTGCTGCAAATTATTAAAGTTTCAATTAAACCTTTTATCCACAACAGAGAAATACAGTACAGTACAGCACAGTTCTTCTCTATTCACCATACCAAGCCTCACTTGTGCGGGGCACCCTGACCAGGTAGAGAAACTGCTTCTCCTCTGATTGGTTGACGCTTCACAGCCAAACAGTGCTACCCTCACAGTTTTAGACAAAGAGTGGAAGTAACGAGTAAGCAAGACAACACAACATCAACAGAATCCCTAGTGAAATATGTCACTCTGACAACTAAATGTAGCTTGTCTCACTTTACCACGCTTGCGACTTACTCTATCCATTATTCTATACTCGATCTCGCTCTATTCATGCATCCGTTTACCTGGAGCTCTGTCTGAAACACTCGGCGCGATATTCGACTTGTACTTTTTGTCCAGTAGAATTCTCGACCACAGATTCCAACGTATTTACGATACAACGATCATTTATACAATTATTGAAATTTTCGAAAACCAGTAAGTTATATTCGTAGCTTATGGTTTCTAGTGCAACCATAAAATATTCTATCAGCTAAAAAAAAATTTTAGAGCTTTCTTAATTTTTCTGTCTATTTACAGGTACCAAATAATGATCATAAATATACATATATTATTACCGTCGTCACGAAAATGCAATAATTACTATTCGCGAATATCAGATCTAACATTTATATAACACATACCATAAAATAAAAATCTGTCTCTGTAACAATCACATAATTGAGCTTACACGTTCACGACATAGAGAAATACAAATAGATACAGACACATATAAACTATATATCTCTTTATCACAATGATTCCTTCTCTAAGACTCTGATTAAAAATTAGTTTAAAAATTCGTCACGTGTTTACGTTATAGAGTAATAAATCTGTTGGCACTGTAGGTGGTAATGTTACCCCATGTATCGTTACTATAAAAGAGGCTACTTTACAGCCATATTCTAAGCAATGTTGTGGTTTCCATTGTGCTAAAACGCCTGCTAAGAAGCCGGTAACCAGAGCGTCTCCTGCGCCCGTTGTATCTACAATAGGAGCCTTTGGTTTAATAGGTTGTACCTGAGAAAAATATAATACATTTTTATTTAATAAGTATATCGGTTATCATTTCTTAACATAACGATTTTTATTTTACCTGAACAGACTGCCCTTTTCCCCACACTGTTATTGCCGGTGCAGAACCACCTTGACTCATAACAAATATTCTACCATGATGTAACCAGTCGTCGTTGGTTGTACTTGATGCATTGACTGTAATTCTTTTCATACTATTCAATAAGAATGGTATGTCAGTCACACTTTCGTATGTAATGTTCAGTGACTGAGCCAAAGCCTCCATTTCTCTTGCATTGCCAAACACAATGTTAGCATGCCCAACCATCTGACAAATTGCTGCTTGGTGATCCTGCATTAAATTATCATAACATTATGGTCTTTGACATATAATTAATTGAAGATGGTTAAATTTCCGTGTACCTTGAATATATACACTCCGCTAAGATTAATAGCTAGAATTATATTATTCTCTTCTACTACTTTCACCAGTTCCTTAGCAACAGGAAAACTGTGTGTTATAAAAAATCCTTCTATATAAATTATTTTTATTGTATCAAATTTTAAGTTGGTTTTTTTTAAATCATCTAGTGAGTAGACACCTGCAGCACCTATATTTGCAACTAGACTTCGAGATGATTCGCATATCAATGCTATACATAGGCCAGTAGGTAGATATGAATGAAATGCGTATCTAAAGATATGGAATAAATATTAATAAGTATGCTAGGAAAAAAGAAACAGAAGATATATTTAATATCTGCGAACCTTGCATCCACACCTGCAGATTGGACTGAGGTATACAATATTGTACCTCTGGAATCTTTACCAAGTCCTCCACAATATATACTGCTTTCGGACTTCAAGGTATTATTGAAAAGCCATTGTAGAATTCGCATTGAGTTCTGTGCTGATCCTCCAGCACTTGTCCTTATTTCCGATCTAAGTAGAATACAGCATTATTAGAATTTCTCTTTTTTACTATTCGAATATAAAATTATGATATTCATGAATAAATATATGTGCTAACCCGGGTGGTAAATGCAACAACATTTGTTCAATTTTCTTATAAGGTAGTTCAACTTCTCCATCTTCTGCAAGACCATATTTGTTCAGAAATTCCTTGTCTTTCAAATGTAGACATACATCCAGCAGAGGATTGCCAAAAGCTAGAACTACAGGCATATTTGGATTCAAGGAAGTAAGCCTTGTCGGAACTTCTTCAACCATGTTGATTCTTAATGCTTAGTCTGTATTCATTAATAAAAAATTAATTGATTATAATTATACCATCACACACAAATAGCGTAGAACGTTTAATAGTACTATACCTTTGTAATATCAAGAAGTAGTAGAGTTGAGAAGAGAGTAGAAAATACATATATTAAGTAAAAAATGTATCAAGTAAGAATTACATTATTTATCGCGCTTAATTATTCTTGAGGTTCATACAACTGCGGTTTCGTATGAATAATCGCATCGTAATTATGTGCAGTTCTGTTTGCAATTTCCTTGCGAAATAATCCTATAATATTTATTTTCGTAAAAAGCTGTGCTTCTGGAAGAAATCAATACGTATACGTCACATATATCTCATAATACTATTCGAAACTGGTGCTAAAGTTATGCCTTATCCTTTTACGAAGAATTCGATCGTTCTCTCTACCGTTACTGCTAAAATTGAGCAAAGGGATATTATCTGCATGATGAGCAAATTAAATAGTTTCATAACAGCTCTGCTATCGTACGCTATACAAGTTGGAATAATGAAAAAAATCATAATATACATCTAAGGAGTATATACTCTATAGCATCGCACAATTCAGAGGATCCTTCGTGACGATTGAGAATACTAGAAGGAGTATCTGTTCGCCATGATTGGCTAATTACTTGCTAAAATACATTAATAAAAATTTCAGATAACATTATAAAAATATTCAGATGTTTCTGAGCAAACAAATTCTCAACCACTGTGATTCATTTTCTTCTTTAATTGAGTTTTTTCTGTAATTCAGCTGATCCTTTCCAATTCCGTGATCGAAGCGCCACCTGGTGTTTTCTAGCGGTAGTAACGTAGTTTATCTGCTTGTCAAAGTGGGGTTTCCCAATTGTGTTTGATGTGTATATAGATTAGATCAACTGATGATGCAAATTACAAATTTTATAACGTTATACATATCTTGATTGTTTAAGGTACCAGCGATGAAAGTGCATTAGTAGTTGTATTAATATTATTACAAAGTGTTCAGATTTCAACTTTTAAAGTGTTCAACTTTAAATCTCTGTGTGCGGAAATACAAAATTAGAAGCTCGCAAAACAGTAAGTGACGGTTAGTGTCGGTATCCGGCCACGTGACCCTTTTTGTTTGACAATTTCTTCTACAATTCCCTTTAATCTTTTGTTTCGAAGTACAGTATTCATTGTTCGAAGATCTTTTAGGTATTACACATATTCTTCATTCAAGTATTTGAAAAGGGGTAGATTTATTCTATAATAGTTAAATTCAGAGATATGATTGTGTGTCAGAAAGTTCGTTACATTACTAATTTTATTTATCGTATTTCCAGATTTAGAAGATTGAAAAATGGCTAAGAGAACGCAGCCGGGTTGGACGGTACCACAAATGAAGAATCATTCAGTTTTGAAATTATATAATAGTTTCACTAGGGAGAAAGAAGTATTTGTTCCTCAGTATGGGAATCGTGTACTATGGTACAGCTGTGGACCAACTGTATATGATGCCTCGCATATGGGACATGCAAGGTAATTGTCAACATACTCGTGTAATCATTAAAGCATGTTATGTTTTTCCTAAATTCACTTATTTTATAATATATTATAACATGATCTCTCCCCATTAATAGGACTTATATATCTTTTGATATATTGAGGCGTATTCTATCCGATTACTTTGGATATGATATTTTATATGTAATGAACATCACAGATATAGATGACAAGATTATCAAGAGAGCTAGGCAAAATTATTTGTATGAAGAATATATAAAAGAGTATCATACTCTTGATGAAATTTTAGAAAATGGTAAAAGTATAATGCAGATGTTTGAAGATACAGTTAAGGTCACTACTGATCCTGACAAGAAAACTATGCTGCAAAAAATGTTGTTCAATGTAGTGCAAGCCATAGAAAATCTTGAAAATGCAGTGAAACTTAAGGATGAGAGCAAAATTCAGGAATTTCAGGAAGTAGTTAAAACAGTCTTTAATCTAATCATATTCTGCGATAAATATTTAGTAAGATTGTATCTTTTCTGGATATAGTTACTCTTAAAAGAAGCACGAGATCCCCTGGCAGACTGGTTAGATAAAAAGAAGGGGGCTACAGTTACAGAGCATTCGATATTCATGAAACTTTCTCAGCACTGGGAGTCAGAATTCCATAAAGATATGGATGCCTTGAATGTAGGACAGAATGTTGTAGTGAACTTGATTGTGGATTCATGAGAACTGTTTTTAGGTGTTAAGGCCAAATGTTTTAACAAGGGTAAGTGAATATGTTCCTGAAATTATAGCCTTTATTGAAAAGATCATAGAGAATGGGCTTGCTTACGAAAGCAATGGTTCTGTGTACTTTGATGTGGCTACTTTTGATAAGCAAGAACAACATTACTATGCCAAACTAGTTCCCGAAGCATATGGTGACACTTCAAGCTTGCAAGAAGGAGAAGGTAATATTAAATTGCAATGATTAATAGAAATTTGCTTTATTTAGATTGATCTTAATTACGAATCGTATCAAATAGGAGACTTAACTACTTCTGAACCATCTGAGAAGAGGTCACCAACAGATTTTGCACTTTGGAAACTTTCCAAAGAAGGAGAACCATGGTGGGATAGTCCATGGGGTAAAGGACGGCCAGGCTGGCACATAGAGTGCTCGGTGATGGCATCCATTATTTGTGGAAAACATTTAGACATCCACACTGGAGGAGTGGATTTAAAATTCCCACATCATGACAATGAAATAGCTCAAGCGGAAGCGTATTACGATCATTCCAATTGGGTTAAATATTTCCTTCATTCCGGTCATTTAACTATAGCTGGCTGCAAAATGTCCAAGTCTTTGAAAAATTTTATTACAATACAAGATGCGTTGAAGAAAAATACAGCAAGACAATTAAGATTCGCATTTCTCTTGCATTCCTGGAAAGATACATTAGACTACAGTGACAATACAATGAACATGGCATTACAATATGAAAAGTTTTTAAATGTGAGTCTAGGTCTCAATAAATATAATATTGATCATTTCATTCATTAAATTTATAATATACATTGTTATTACAGGAATTCTTTTTAACTGTAAAATGTAAAATCAGATCTTTGGGCTCAGAAACAAATATTAACACGTTCAATAAATGGACTAGTTCTGAAATAGAATTGAACACGAAGTTCAGTAACGCTAAAAACTCTGTGCATAATGCACTATGTGGTGAGTTTAGTAATTAAAAGATTTCTAACAAATTTTTTTTAATAATAGTTACAAAGAGAATGATTCTTCAACAGATAATATTGATACAAGAACTGCATTAGACGCGATTAGAGATATTGTCACGCATTGCAATATTTACTTGAATCAAGTCAAGCAACCGAACACGCTGTTACTTAGAGACGTTGCAGTTTACATAACGAAAATGTTTACTATATTTGGTGCAATATCAACATCACACGATAGCATCGGCTTCCCAGTAGACGATAAGTGTGCAAATTTAAATGTAAGAATTTCATATCACTTTCTCTCTATCAGTAACATGTACTGTTTATTTACAAATACCATTGATTCCAGGTTGAAGAGGTCGCGATGCCGTATCTCGAGGTTCTAGCGAATTTCCGGGAGAAAGTACGAAACGAAGCGAAGAAGCTTCAAGCTAATAGTATTCTTATGGAATGTGATAAGCTGCGAGATGACATTTTACCAAATATTGGGGTGCGTTTGGAAGACTGTAATGAGATAGCTTGTGTTAAGTTGATGAACAAGGAAGAGCTTTTGAGAGAAAAAGAGTGCAAAAAGAAGCTCGAGCTTGAGAAAGCACAGGAGAAGGAGAGAAGGAAAGCTGAAGCTGCTGCAGCCGCTGCAGCAAAGGAGGCACAAAAGAAAATTCCTCCTACTGAGATGTTCAAGCTCGAGAAAGATAAATACTCTCAATTCGACAACAACGTAAGTTTTAATTTTAATTATTTTCATTATTTCCTAGTAGATGCGCCTAATGACTTTCAGATATGATTACGGTCAACGCCCTGAGCAAGGATCCCAGGCGCCTGACCGTTCTTGGAATTTCCACTCCAGGTCAGAATGTTCATTGGTGTCTAGTGTGTCTAATGGTGTCAGGGATTCTGTTTGGAATCTGCTCCAATTGGTGGAGAGGAGATCTCGCAAATGGGATTGAACGGTTCCAATGGATTGCCAATGGAATCTATTGGTATCATCCAATTCGATTTGTGATAGGTAATTTTCCCACTCCTACTTTCCTGGAAGAAAATCGTAAAGCGGTCTCAGTCGTCTGGGACCCCTGGTCCTGAGTAACTTTGCTTACTCATGTATAACACTGGCATTGAGTTTTATCTTAAATGATACAAACAAGTATAACTTCAGTAATATGCATTAAAAAATAGACTTTAGATATTGGAATCTGCGATTGAAATGTATTTGCAAGTGGTTATTCATTTCTCTTCAGGGTTTACCAACGCACGATAATGATGGTAAAGAGATCAGCAAGGGGCAATTAAAAAAGTTGCAGAAACTGCAACAAGCACAGGAAAAGCGATATAATGAATACCTCTCTTCCATTTCAAATATTCTCTCCCTTGCTTAGCATTAATGTCGCAAATACTATTTTCATACGCGAAGCATACTCATTTCTCACTTAATTAATTTATTACAATCTTCAAGTTGATGATGTCCATATCTTTGTGCTTCTCTTGTGCGATACTTAATATAGTAAGTTTATACTTTTCTAGACTCGTGTGCGAAAATAGAACACAGCTACTGTACTTACAATATGTATAATGTTTATGGTGCTATTGTACCAACACGAACAATAAGAAAACAATAAATATTTAATAGATTATCGAATGTCCGTTTCATCATTGAGTAATAATTAATATAAGATACATTTATAAGTTTTCATTTTTAGTTGTTGATTCTATCATACTTGTATTACGATGATAGATCGTTAGTTTATTTTTAGTGTAAGCATATATGTATGTATAGTGTTTGTAATAACGAGTATCTCAGTTTAATAAATTATTATATTTAGCTAATTTATTATTAGAAGCATTATGCGTCCGCTGCAAAATTTTTGATGCTCGACACATGTGCTAAATTTCATCACAATTAGCAACGTCCAATTGCATAATATCCTTTAACAATTTTGCATACCCCGATAAGGTTAATTTCTATTTCCAAAACGTCATGTCCCGCGTTTCTATGAGTTTTCGAGATATAGGGACGAGGGTCTAGTTTACTATAAAATTACGATTTTCAATCGCGACGTCGTTCCACGTCGCTAAAACAAAATGAACTTGGCGCGTTTCCCATGCTCACCGGATGAGTCTGACGCGCGATGCTGTCCATTATTAAAGCATAATACCCCTTTCACAATGACGCGCGAGCCGACAGTGACAGCTTTATAAATGTAAAAGCGATATAATGCCCGACTTGTTGCGAGGCGGGCCGATATTCATCCCGCATTCAGGGAACTGAAAACTCGAGGCGTGTATATCACGCGCCGCTTTCCCAACTGCGGAAAACATGCCGGCCGATAACGTCTCTCTCCATCCCCGAAAACCGTGACGAAATATTTAGGTAAAACACCCCCTCGACTTCCGGCTCCTTGTTTCCGGACAGAAACGAAACGGGGGAGCGATTTTACCACCCCTTTCGCTATTTTCAAAACCGTTCCATCAACCCTTACTGGTCGAAATGACAGTGTTCATTAACGCCACACCTTTCAGTAGTTCATTTTAGAAAGACCAAACGAGTCTACAGACTGAACACGAGTCAGCTTGTGTGTGAATGTTTTTAACCCGCCTGGACTGTTCTCAGAATTTCTGTAATTTTATTTTGTAAATTAACCCTTTGCCTTTATCATCTCCTACACTGCAATGCTGATTCGGAGATTTAAACGTTAATCATCTCCTGGAAGAGACAGAAAATTTATATTTACTGTTGCACAGTGTAAGATAAACACCGTTGATAGTAAATTAATGGATACATACGTATAATGAATTATAATCATTATGACGACGAATATTTTATCCAGATGGTGCGTGCGGATTGAAAGTGTCTTTTTCTGCACTACATACTTTCAAACACTGCGCTCACAGATACAAATAAGTTAATCCATATTTTTCTAATTATTCTGAATAGTAGAAATAATATATTTCTAATATATTGTAACTGACGGATCTAGATCAACCCTTCTGTAATGTAGATTTGTTCCTCGATACAGCAAACATTTCTCATTCGAAGTACGATAAAACAACGGAAAACAATCGTACATCAAATTTTAAGAGGTCGTTGCAAAGGGAAGACTTCGCTCTTTAACCCTTAGAGCTCTATGGACGCATATATGCGTTTGGCGAAAGTCATCCGTGTAGCCTAAGGCCGCATTTATGTGTTTTCTCTAAGTCATCGGCCTGGACTAAGGGCGCATATATGCGTTTGTCGATTTTTTCAATCAATATGCAGTTATTTTCGTGTAAAATTAATACAGGGGCACTCGTTAGCAATTTGCCGAAACGGAAATCCGATTTTATGTCCCACTCTCTAATCAATTAGATTTCAAAATAATTACCTGCACTGTCGCCTTCTCGCGACTCAAAGCACTCAAAACGATTCAGTCAGTAGTATCGTCTTGTGAATGTAAGAACCTCACGGTCTCGCTCGCGTCAACAACGATAGTGCGGAATATAACTTGTTCGATTTTTTTTTTTATTCATGACACCCTACAAAATGTCAAATCTTGAGGAATATTTCACAAGGGACGACAGTGAAATAGAATATAGTGAATCACTATCATCAGACATTGAATCAGAAGATTAATTATTTAACCTTCTGCAAAAGAATCACTATAATTTATCACTGTTTGCGCCTTGAATAGTCACTTCAGTGTGGCAAAAAAGTATTCCGCCGCCAGCGATGGTCAGCGATAGCCGTGCTCCGTCCTTACGAACCGTTTCGGCCAGGAGTATTCAGAGCTCAAAAGGTTAAATCCTGGGTAGGTTCAGACGTAAAAATATTGTTCAAAGTCTCTAGAGATGTTCGAATCTTCTAAATGTTCGAAAGGAAAGGTCGGTCAATTTTTCAACGTGTTCGACGATGTGAAAACGTTTCCAGAAAGATTGAACTGAGAATTGTCGTTGTTCACACGATGTATATTCATCGGAAAAGCTTCGACATTGCAATCATTATCGCCCTAACCGAATATATCCGAAGCAAAAGCATCCGGGACCACCGCAGACTAACCGCGCCCGTCGAAAATGTTTCGAACTATTGAACTTTCGATTGAACGATCCTCGCCTCCGCGCGCTGAATTAATAATCATCGCATGATGTCGTTACGATCACTCGACACTCGATTTGTTCATTGATCGACTGCCGGCTTTCACGGTTCTCCTTTTACGGCGTTAACGACACACGGTGGAAAAAAGCTCGTAAGTTGACGTTAACAATGCGTGACGGTTGGCGCAAAAAATATGCTCTCAAATATGAAGTCAAGAGAGGTGAAAAAGCAAACAGACTTTTCGCGCTTCGATTCTCTTTCTCTTGCCTGTTGCCCTCTCTCTTTCTCGCTCTCTCTCTGTTCTGTTTTTTACGTTCGCCACCCCGTGTTTCCGCACTCGTGGCCTCGCGTGAATGAATACGTAAATTTTTTCGGAAAAAGTCCGATTTCCTCGCCCCGTTGTCGAAAGGTCTCGACTTTTGATTGACAACTGAATGTTCTCGTATGCATATAAAGCCACCCCCTGTCTTTCTCTCTGGTTCGGATCGGTCTTCGGCTTCGTTTCGCCGATTTCCCTTTATCCGAGCCCGGAGTCCCGTAACTGTAGTAATTTAACGAGCGCCGCTTTTTACTCGTGTTACCTGCCGTTGCATATAAGTGTATATCGTCGCCTTTTCTTCGTCGCCTTCACTGGCTTTCCACCGTTTTTTCCGTGTTCGCACGTTGTTCTCTCCGTCTCCGTTTCCGCGGGCCACGGCGACGTTGATCGGCCGTGTTTCTTTTCTTTCCGTTTTTTTTTTCTCCCGATCTCGTCCTCCGCTACTGCGATAAAGAGAACGCTGGAACAAAAAAAGAAAAAGAAAGAGGAACAATTTGAGAATCGAAACGACGGAAAGGCGACACGATGCATCCGGGTGCTCCCGGGAAACGAGGCGCATTCGTCGGCGGAAAATTAGAACAGCCGACACCCCGGATTCTAAGAGCGGAGCGAGTACGTTAGGTGGCAACGGACTTTCCGGGTTCGTTGCAAGTGCTGTCGATTCACTAGATTCTCTCCAGGCAACGGTCAAAATGACGGAGAAGAGAGGGAGTGTTGCACGGCGGTCTGGATCAGTAAAACTCGAAGACTGAAGTCGAAAATTGGGGAATCGAAAATTACGTGGCCAAGCTCGAATACCGTGGAACCTCGATTATACGAATTTGTCAGAGGAACTTGGATGGTCGGATAATAGAACAGACACTTGGTTACGGTGCTAGATCAAGCTTTTATTATATTATAGTAATTAAAATAAAACATCAAGATCAAAATCTTACTATATAGCTACTATATTTACTCATACAAATAAGTCGTGTTGCTTATGAATCACCGTGTATTAAACTGTTCACGTGTGAAACGTGTTTGAATGACAGTCAATTTTACCATCGAAGTTGTGCTGCAGTTTTTATTTAACCTTCCGCGAACCATACGGGGTCATATTAACCCCAGCGGTTTTGAAACTGCATCATTTTGTTACAAAGTACACGCGAGCGGCCTGGATTTTTGTTATTAATAATAAATTGGCTATTTTTAAAACATCAGTGTTTGTTTTATTGCGATCTGTCCTCGTTACAAAAACGATGAAACACGACTGAAATGATATACATATTTTGTTCACCTGAACCGCGGTGAATTAAAAAGTACTTGATTTTAAGGTACATATTTCACGTACTACAATATTACCATCATTTATTCATCTATTTCTCATCACGTTTCAATCTTTTGCACTCTCGGAGACAATCCAACTTTAAATCCGAAATAGTTTTTCTGAATTCTAATATTCTCATTTTATGTGATTTATAATTGGTACATTTTATGCAGATTAAGTTGAGTCTTGCGACGCATTTTTAAATGTTAACAATTTTGGTGCTTTAAAAATGGTTTTGAAACGTGATGAAACAATTTCTGGTGATGCCGTAGAGTCACCTTTCGAGCGCAAAGGTTTAAATCATCCGACAGAGTTCTCGAAGAGAAAACATCTCTTACGAAGGAAACACCCCCTACGAATTAACCCTTAAATGCATAGAGTCCCAAAAATGAATCAATAACTTTTTGCGCGGATACCCGACAACAGTTTTGATATCGATACATTTGGCTGAATGGCAGTGATTCCTTTGTCCATTGACTTATCAAAAATTAACTAAAATAATGACATTTGACTTCAATATTTGTATCTTTCTGACGTTATACCAATTGGCGCGCATTTTTGATAGCGGGTTCATTTACGTACTCTCTTTTGGAAGTGGATTATTTAGAAATATTTTGGTGTATTCGTTAAACAAACAATATTTTCTAAAGGTAAGGCTCTTATTTATTAATTTGCTAGTACTTTTGTCTATATTCCGTAACTATCATGTGTATGGAGGGCTTATTTCGTGTTGATGCAAAAATGGGACAACATGCACTAATGGTAATAATTACGACATGTATTTAGTACTATGCTTCCTTTATTGGTTTGTTGGTTTTGTTTTGGTGTGGTATGCATGTGGTTTATAATTTTGTTATAGATATGTCATACTAACTAAAGAATTTTTATGTCTATTTTGCATAGTGTACCAAAAATGAATCATTAATATTTTTCAATAAAAACCCTATAAGATATGACTTATAA